GTATATTTATTATACCTTCACACGATGGTTTTTTTTGCAAGAATTTGGAAAATGTTGCTGCTAGAACTCGATTTTCCGCCTCACGCGCCCTTTTTTGGTGTCTATAAAAAGCTCCTGAATCTTTTTTGCGTTTTTCAGACATTTTAAACATCTAATTATAATTAGATAATTATCAAACTACCTTAGTAATTCACTGATTTTACAATGCACGATCGTGAGATATTTTTCAATTAATTGTCAAACACAGTAAAGAAAACTACAGGATATGATTGAAGAAACAAATAAAAGAGGGCGCCAGCGTCGTCTTCCGAGAGCGCCTCTATTAAATCATTTGTAACAAAGATATTTCTCGAGCTTAATACTGGAAAAAATCGCCAATCGAAATTTTTGTATTATGTTCATTGAAATTTATTATCATTAACACATCGTAAAAATGCCGCCCCCCCCATTGTGCCGCTCCGGGCGGTTGCCCGGTTCGCCCGTACCTCGGGCCGGCCCTGACCATTACTATAACCAAACTGTTTTCTCAGTGTACCAATAATAATAGGTACTAGGGTGGCGCAAAAAAACGACTATTTTTTTTTTTGTCTCGAGTGAAAAATGTTAGTTTTTGATGTTTTAAGAGGCCTCTCCAAAAGGACAGCTCAAAAAAAATTTTTTTAGAGGTCGCTCCAAATTTTTTTAAATTTCAAAAATCTTCAAAAATCGATATTTTTTTAATTATTTTTCTCGGTACGGTATAATTTTACAGACATAAAAAAAATAAGTTTCTGAAAGTTTCAGATCAAAATTTAAATTTTGAAAGGTCGCTCATAATTTTTTTTAATTTAATCTGTGCATTACTTTAGATTTTTTCGAGCGACCTTTTAATATTTAGGGTAAAGTAAGGTACCTATGTTCGTGATGATTTTAGTTTTTTCGACACAAAGTAATATAAATGGCATGCATTTATGTTGTAATTGTCAGAGTACTAAGACATTAATGTTTGGCTTTAGATTCAGGTTCTTTTTTTAAAGAAAACGTAAAAGCCTATAGGCTGCTATAGCAAAAAAAGACTTTGAAATTAACCAAGTCAAAGAAAGGTAATTTCGTGATAAGGGTATCTAACTTCGTGACATGGGGTAGGTATATTCGTGATACTAAAAGTTATAAAAAAAATTAACTTAATGTCTAATAATCGGTTTATTTATGCATAACAGGCAGTGTTGCCAACCCTACCGAATTTTCGGTAGATCTACCGAATTCTGAAAAATTCTACCGATCTACCGATAAACATCAATATTCTACCGAAAATCTAAATCTTGCAATAATCCAAAAGTATAACTTTTTTACATTAAATTGCTAAAAATATTATACTTCGACAACAGTATTATACATTATTCACAAGTATGTGATTAAAAATGTTTTTACCAACATTATTTGTACAAAAGGCGTACAAAGACGGTATTGCAGATTTCAATTTTTGTGGTAAAAACTGTTTTTACCCAAATTATTTGAACAATAGCCGGTACTTATCGCAAATTTTCATGATACAATAAACACAGAAGTACAGAACATTCAACTTTGTGCAAAATTTATGTATATTATTAATTTTTTTGTGTTTTTATTTATTATTTTTTGTTAAATTTCTCTTCATAAATATTCAACTTATGTTAACATTATTAAGTTATTGATTTCATTAATATTTTTTTATTTTTAATAAATATTTTTCTCTTCCCTGTGTTTTTTTACTAAAAATTTCACATATATTTAAATCTACCGAAATTTTACCATCATCTACCGAAAATTTCCAAGGAATCTACCGATAAAATATTCAAAGAGGTTGGCAACACTGATAACAGGTTATTTTTATTTTTATTGTGAGTCATCACTGCTTCTGTCTTGCATTTTAAAGCTAAAATTTAAAATAACAATAGGTTATTTCGTGATAACAGGTAATTTCGTGATATGTTCAAATAACATTCCTTTTAGGTTAGATTTCTAGTCAATCGTAAATATAACCCAACCTTACAAATTTGTGACAGTAAATACTGCATAGGAATTTAAATAATTAAAAATCAAGCAAGCCTTGCATTTTTACTTCTTCAACGCTTGCAAAAAACCTAACAAATTAACTCCACGGGATAAGCTATTAACGTAAAATTTTGCCACATTTTGTTAATCTGATTTGACAGGAAGATTCTGCATTTTAAAAACTATAATTAGTACAAATTTCAAGAGCCCATCTTTATAACTTATAAGTTACACCTTGTAAAACAATAAATTTCTTGCAAGCTGTAAAGCCCGCCAAAAATTACTACATAATATGCAGAACATAGAAAAAAAGTTTTATAACGCCTGGTATATTCGTTGTTTCCAAATGCACCAAGTTGCGCCATCTAGTAAAAAGATACTTATAGTAACCACTAGCCGAAATAAAATTTCATCTATAGCAATAGGTTTTTTACTGACAAATATATATATTTCTATCACGAACTTACCTATACCACGAAAATACCTTACTTTACCCTATAGGGTAAAGTAAGGTATTTTAATGTATACATTAAAATTCCATGCATTTTTTTTATTTAGTACAATAATCAATAAAAATACACCACGAGATGAACTAAAAATCAAGCACAATATAGAAAACATAATTTTTTTCAATTTAATAATTTTACTATCAACTATACATTTTGACGATTTTTGAAATTTAAAAAAAATTGGAGCGACCTCAAAAAAAATTTTTTGAGCTGTCCTTTGGAGAGGCCTCTTAAAACATCAAAAACTAACATTTTTTCACTCGAGACTCAAAAAAAAATAGTCGGTTTTTTGAACCACCCTACACAGAGAAAAAGAAACAATAATATTTATTAACTGTTATAAGGTAATAGTTACCCTTTAGTGGATTCGTATTCTGCCAAACCTATATGAACTAACAGTTATAATACTACAAGGTATAGAGAAGTACTTAATCTTACCTGTCATTTATTAATAGAAAGGTTTTGAAATATTAATAGTTCAATAAGTTTAATATCTATTAAAATTACCTTATTATTTTAAATATTGTATTTACTAACTGTTTATTATTTGGTTTTCTATTAGTATTTTATTATAATAAATTATTATTATTAATAATCACATTTTATGAGTTATCAGTTATTTTTCCATCAGCTTATAGTTAATCTATGAAAGTAAGTATTATGTTAGCATATGATTATGCAAACAGCATGGTTCACATGCTTAAAAAGTATAAATAGGAATTTTAATTTAACAAATAATACTTATGTACATCCACCAGCATTAAAACATAAATAAATTGTTTTAATGCTGGTGGATGTACATAAGTATTATTGTATTTGTTGTTAACAAAAAACCTCATGGTTCAAACGCTTGTTACTTCTATCATGGTGGAAAAACACGATTTCAGCGTATTAATTATGGTATATCTCCTATATAGCACAGTTTTTGGAAAAGCAAAAGTAGATATTTATAATAAGTAAGTACAAACCCCAAAGTTTTAATAATTCTTTGGTGTTCTGGTCTGTCATTCAACCTCACCGCATGAGTATCTACCTATTCTCACTGACTTAGGCGTACATCATGCCTCAACTGTTAATAACTCATTCGCTAATAGTTACCTTTTTACTTTTCACACAACTTGGTTATAATGATAGTTATAATTTATCTTCTAAAAGTTAATTTGTGATTAATATTATAAAGAATATTATATTTTGCAATAACATTCAAATGCTGATAATTATTGCAACTTAAACTTAATATCAGCATACCAAGGTATAAGTTTATTTATCATAAAATATCAGTTACCAATTTATATTATAATAATATAATTTCTGATATTTTCCTAAATATTTGGAACAAACTGAGTATATTAACAACAAACCTACATCCACTAACATTAAATCAATAGCCTTTAACTTATCCCAGGTAACTATTAAGAAAACCACATTCTATTATTTAGAATACAATTTTTAAAATAATTTTAGTAATATATTTAGTATATTGCTATACTATATGTTAGCCTATATGCCTTAAACTTATATTTATTATCCATTAATCAAATTTTTCTTTCTGTGTAATAGGTACCTAATCATAAATAAATGAAAATTTTGTTTAAACTACCTAAAATTGTATTGTAAAATGTTTTTTTACTCCTATAGGAAAATATGCAATAAGTAATACCGTTTTAATAGTTATCAATTTTTAATGTGGAAAACATAATAGGTAGGTATAATATATTATACCTATTCCTTAAAGTGTTACAGAATGAATTATTCTATAACCGTATGACGGAATAAATAAACACTATAGTGGTGAGTCGCTGGTGACATATCTGTGTTTATTATCTATTAACTTATAGACCGATCCAACCTCACTTTCTCCTAATTAAATTGTTTTTCTATGGTATATTTTTTGGAAACGTAGAGAAAGTATAGACTGAACATATTTGGAATTGCATATTCCGCTTTCGTGAAACCGTCAAACTCGCCTTCGGCTCCTGTGACAAACTTTTCACTCGGAATATGCCTTATTCCAAACTTGTTACAGTATATACCATAATGGTTTGATTATGAACTATTTTATAGTTTTCAATGGGCAAGTTAATTTAATTATTAATAATAAAAACTGTTACTATGGTATAATGTCTTAAAACACACTAGTTATAAAAGATTTTCAAAAATAGATCAAAGCCTATAGATGTAAAACTAAACAATGATGAGGCAGCGAAGATATAAAAAAATAACTAACAACAGATCGAGTAAATAAATCTTTTGCATCCACCCACAGAATCGCAATTCTAGCTGGCTCTGCCACAGTCACGGATTGAATGCTGGTGAAGTAAATTAAAAGACGTGATCGTCTTTTGAATGCCTGGGGCGACCATCTCGACGACCAATAGCGGCAACGCAGCTACCTGTGCCCGGCCAATGGCCGATGGCTTTACCCCCTCCGGGCTACTAAATTCGCTGGCAGGGCCGTGCCTCCTTTACTTTGCAAGCACAGTGCCTGCAAGCTTACCCGAAAGCGCAACGGTCGCACCCAACTCCCATACCCCCGGTCACAGAACCCCTAAACCTCGAAGCCACTGATATCTATCTAGTGAACGACGGCAGCCTGCAACGATAATCTCATATGTACGTCGTGTCAGTGTAATATCGATTTCAAATTTATTTTAATTGTGTTTCCTGTGTTATTTTTATTCCTACAGGTCAAAATTTCATATGAATTTTATGTGGGCCTTGTGTACTTTATTTTAAAAAGTGATTAAACATTTTAGTTCATAAGTTTGTTTAATTGTGATATGGAATGATGTCCAGATTCTATTTAAATTCTAACTCGTCCTTAGCAAATTATCAGCAATATGAAGTAAGTTTATTTTTTTATATCATATTATATACTGCATTAAACATAATTATTAATACTGCTCACCGTTTAAAATACATAGGTTACCTATAAATCATCATAGGCTATGATAGGTACCTATACATATACCTACCATATATGGTATAGCCTATAGGTATTAATTATAAAAGTAAAATATTAAATACTTAAATACAAACAGTGAATATTTAAACAATGAAATCATTGTTAATAAATTTAGCTCTAATAATTAAGCTAGCTTAAGCTATTTAAGAAATATTTACCTATATTTGCAAATGTATAAAAAATTCAAACATACCTAATTAATTTTGTCGACCGCTAACCGCATTAAATAATTTTTTGATTTATTTTTAAATTCAACCTTTTTATATATTTTTCTGACAATAAAATATAATCTTATTAAAAAAATACAGCGGAGATTTCGTGTTTTCCAAGAAAAAAAACACAAAATATAAGGTCAAAACTTGAAAAGATTTTTAATATTTTGGTCTTGGAAGCCCATAGCTGCAATCCATCAGGAATTAGAAAAAAGGTTATAATTACAATAAATAATGGTTTATTTTAGACTGCCATGAGTAGGCCCCTTGATTTAAAAATTTAAATTATTAACAAGTTAAAATATACCTAAGTATACTTATAAGTTCGCTGGAAAAATTTTCATATCCCTGATTACATTAAGAGTGTTGGCAAGATCCTCTCAGCAAGTCTTTCGCAACACTGTGTTGCGAAAGACTTGCTGAGAGGATCTTCTAACCAATTTAAAATAATTTATATTTACAAAAATTATCACAAAATTTCATAAGCAGACTAGGGGCCCTATTTTATTTTCCCGCCCCGGGCCCCCGACGGGTTTGGTCCGCCACTGGGTATACCTGGGGTATACTTGTTTTACAAAATAAAATATATAATTAAATAAAATACGTTTTTGTCCTTCTGGGGGAGGTTACAGTTCTGGCACCTCTATTTTTACCGAGCATATTAGATGACAAAATTAAACTGATATTTTTAAATTTGTAACACTTTTACCAGTGTTTTTCTCAAAATTTAGGTATTATTTACAAATTAAAAGAAAGACACCTTTTACAACTTACCTATGTTTAGGAATTAATTTTGTGAATTTCAAATGAGTATACCTATAGGTATGAAGATAAATATGAGCAACAAATTAATTAATTTAATAATTTTACCTTAGACATGTACAAAAACTACCTGTAGTGTCCCATTTGACCCTGATATTTTATTTATAGTGATCAACTTACCCCATTTTCTTCTAATAGGACTAAATAGGTTTTTTTACAAAAAAAAAAATATTCAAAAAATACGTGTCTCGGACACCTACAAAAAATAGTTTTTTTAATAGAAATGGCATATCATAGTGGGCCTAGGGCGCCAAATCCAAGTAATAAGGACAAAAGATAATGTTTATTTTTAATAATGAAAATGTTCTTTTGTCATTTATTACTTAATATTGTGCATATGGGGCTTAGCAGGGCAGCATGGTCATGCGAATATTCACAACCGAGCTTTTTATATTATTTTTAAACTAATAGAACATACACATGAGTTAAAATTTTTAAAACGCGAAAATTGCATCTATAAATTTTTGTAGCGTGTACAAGTGTAATTTCTAGGTACGCCCCTGATTATGGTATTTTGTAGATTAACAATTAAATTAAATATTTAAAACATATTTGTAAGTTCTTTTATAGAACATGTAACATGTTACATGTTATGTCATTTTTAATGTTATGCATATTATCAATCTAAAACGACGATATGTGTAATTCATAGTTAGATATAATGCGTGTTACACAGTAGGTATGTTATTTGCCTTTCTCTTGTTCAATTTTGTGATTAAAAATTGTAAAGTGTATATTTTAAAAACACTTGTAACACTATAATTTTGCATGCATGCTGGTATTAATTACAATTGTTTGATTTAAATTAAGATAAAATTACCTTACTATCCCTTAATAATTGAGCTTAAGCGCTTTCAGATATATAAAGAACTAACAAATTTAAAATATTAATAAGGATATTAACCCTAGTTCTTTATGTACCCTTATCACGACTAATAAATGACAAAATAAAATTGATATAGTTGGTATAGTATAACAATTTTAGGATTATCCTATGGTCTAGGGTCCAAGGCTGCGGGGACCCTTAAACAAAAAAGTAAAAGTTTTTTTTTCTTTTGTTCAGTCATTATTCTAACAGTTGTTATTGAAATGTTTACAATTTAATTTTTAAATTTCGCGGATTTTCTTTTTAACCTGATTTTTCTTTTGTAAACAAGCATACAGGGTGTCACCAAATAAGTTGTCATCCTTTAAGGGGATGATAGTACACGCCAAAATATGAAAGTTTTTCCTCTATAATTTTTGCATTAGTGCAATTTTTTTAAATAAAAAAATCATTACATTTTTTATAAGTAAAGTAGATTTTGAGCCGCCACTGGTTGTTCCTGACCTACTACAAATTAATAAAACATCCTCGCACAGTGGGCAATACTCCACATTTATTAAAAATTTACATTTGTGTTATCATTCATTACTTGTTGATAATTGTTTTTGGTTTTGCATACTCAGCTATTTTTAGGTGCTTTGAATAAAACAATGCTTACTTTTTATTGTTAGGTATCTCGAAGTTTCCGTGGTTTTCAAGTGTTCCACAAAATTATAATAAATGTTCAACTATCCCGCCGTTCACAGACGTTGTCTATGCCGCCGTTATTATCCACACAAAGTATAGTATACTTAGTATACGGATGATTTTAGATTTCATCTGCCGCTGCAGTGACAAGTTCGCGGAGTTGTTATAATGTGTCAACTTCGCTTTGGTTCACTAAACTGTTCATGTAGCCCCAGAACAATGATAAGAAAGTACTAAATAAGTTTAAAAGTTTGCTTGATATTACATAATACACTGTGCGCATACCTGTTTATTTTTTGCTTGGATGAATAATATCATTGTTTTTAGAGGTAAAAACAATGATGATATATAGGATCGGTCAGTGACATCCAGTGGCTCCCTGGTTTTGTCAAAAAAAATTCAAAATTTGCTATAATGCAAAAATGATAGAGGAAGAACTTTCTTGTTTTGGCGTGTACTATCATCCCTCCAAAGGACGACAATTTATTAGGTGACACCCTATATATGGTTATAAGTTTAAAAATAAGCATATGTGGTTACAAAGAATATGGTTGCATGTATTGTTAAAATGAGTAACATTCCAAGTGGGGCAAAAAAAATAACAATTTATAAAGAAAAGTACATACAAGCTATAGAAAATGAATTAGAATTATCCCCAGTAGCACAAAATATTGGTCCTATATGGGGCGCGTCTAGGCCCAATATTTTATCTGGGGCCAATATTTGTTTTATTTAGCCGCTGTTAGGCCTATATTGGCAAAAAATGATAATTTAATATATATTGCTAATGTTTATCCAATTTTGGTCCTATATTGGCATATTATTTTACGCCAATATATCATTAACTATACACAGTAAAAAAGGATTTTAGTGTTCTCCCAGGTGAAAGTTGTAGAGTGAAAAAGTTAGTGTAGAACATCACACTATTTTCAATCTAAGTGGATGGAATGATAATAGTGTTCCACATCACTCTAACTTCACACTTAAATATAAATTTAACACTAGCCAAGCTCTGGCAGTGCACATTAGTGTAAATATGCAATCAGGTGGTGTTCAGTTGACAAAAACGCAAACTTGTTTCGTTCATTTTTCTCTCCGAATTTGTGTTGGAAGAATGCACCAAGCTGTTTAGTTGTGGTTTATAATTATTAACTAAAGGTAAGTCAATTTTAAAGGATTATTATTATTCATCTTACTTTATAATGTAAAAAATTGCATTTTGTGTTGGTTCATAAGGTCGAAAATCGCGTGAAAATCGCGTTTTGTTTATTGTATAGACAAATTTCAAGTACAGTTCTTACAATAGCTCAGTTTAATGTATATAATAAGTAAATCGTTTTTTTTTGTAATTTTTAGATGTTTTTTCTGAGAGTAACTTAAAAAATTTAGCTAAAACCTTAGCAGTACGATACCAGCAGATGGCATTTTATGATGACAACTTTAGAACTGAATTGCAAAGTGGATCTTCACTCAAAGTTTTATTTTGCAAAAATTTGGTATATAATAATTTGGTATATAATTATTAGGTATATTGAAGAATTTCCCTTTTCTATAAAAATTTTAGTCACAAAATGGGTAAGAATTGGTTACCTGTATAAAACTACGAGATTTTAAGCTTGCTTAACAAACCTTAGCAGTGCGATACCAGCAGATGGAATTTTATGATGACAACTTTAGCACTGAATTGTAAAGTTTTATTTTGAGATTATCAATGCAAAAATTTGGTATATAATTATTATATAGAAGAATTTCCCGATTCGATAGAAATTTTAGTCACAAAATGGGTAAGAATTGTTACCTGTATAAAACTACGAAATTTTAAGCTTGCTTTCCAAAGAGCCATACAATTTACACCAATCAGTGTCAATTGGTACTTAGTGCGAAAATATTATTTTGTGTTTTAAACGTATTTATATTTTAAGTAATTGCCGAAGATTAGTTTTATTTTTTGTAGCGTAACACTTACTGTTGGCGCCAAGTATTGCGCCATGGGTTGGTTTAAGTTGTCGATGTGACTTTGGTTACATAACCTTTATTTTGTGTCATTGTTAGTTGAGAGTCTCAACTTAAGACTATCAATAATATTTTTGATACTTATATATTAAAAAATAGTTATCCATGATAACTGTAACAAAAATAACATAACATAATAATAACAGAAAAAGAATCATAATCATAAAATTTACATAATTTAATATACATCATAAAATATAAATAAAATGAATAATATAACATACCAACATAAAAAGAATACAGATAATATAAAAGAAAATTATACGAGAAGAAATACAAGAAAAAATATAAGAAAAATACACGAATAAAATAAGAAGAAT